TTGAGGAGGTTCCAGGTCAGTGAAAGCAATCTATTACATGTATGCATGAAGCTAACCTGTAAAAGAAAAAGTGTTGAAAAATACAAGTGCATTCCTCTGGATCAGTGTTGTGGCACAGAAACTCTGCCCAAGGGTCATTTAAAGCCAGCTGCAACGCAAAAGGGAAAGAAAACAAACCAAAAATTAGAATGCGAAGAATTTATCAAAGTTCCTTCGGTGTCTGCATTCACCAAAAGGGACCTCTGCCTGGGCCTCTGGTACCTTTCCTCGAATATCACTGCACACGTCACGTAGTTTATACAAAGCCAGCCAGCATGATTTAACCATTACAGATGTGTGTGTATGCATAAGGTTGTAGAGAACACATCTGTAAATCAGAGACGCTGTCGTGTCCGCGCCTTAAGTGGCTACCTGTGTTTTCCTCCCACTGGCAGATTTGTTATCTGCATCCCATAGTAGTGGAGACATTTCACTCAGAACCACAAATGTGTACTTCATGGTAGCATTAGAGCAAAAGTCATAAAATCACCACAGTCATAAGGATCCGCGAATGTCTGCACAACACTTGGAACATTTCACTGAATATGCGAAAAATATCACCTGCTGGCGGCAAGAAATAAAAAGTCAGGGGATCGCCAGAGTAAGCAGGATCCATCATCTAGGAACCATGAATGTTTGTGCAAAACTCCATGGCAATCCATATGAAAGTTGAGATATTTGAATTTGTAAAGTGGTGAACAGACATCCTCAGTTGAAGCCAGATTGATGCATCTCTCACTTTCACCGTACAGTCCTACAGCAATGGATTGCTTTACGTAAAAAGCCGTTAGTGTATAACAGAAAAAAAAAAAAAAAAAAACAAGGCTTACATGAAAGAAATTGAAAATGCCTTGGCATTTATCATACGTGCTTTCTTTAGGGTCAAAACTCATCTGCCTGGCAGGATTTTCACCCTGCACTGCTCAAGCCAGTGGATTAAAGGCTTTATAGCAGTCTTCTTTCTTAAAAGAGGATTTGCTACATTGTCTCAATTTATTGCTGTACATGGTTGTAGTAGGGATATTTCGAACTGCACTTCAAGGCAGCGTGTGGGTGCATATATTAATTTGAGGCTTGCTTTCTCTCCCATCACACACACACGCGCGCACACACGCGCAGACACACACACACACACACACACTTGTAAAGTCACCAATCATCAGATGGTGACTCATAGAAACACAGTTTTGCCAATGCGTTGCCACGGCGTTTCAGGCCAATAATGGTCACACCGATGTCAACATGGAATATTGAGCAGGAAAGGGGAAGCTGTGTTTGTTATTGGTTACATTCTCACGTGGTGCTGTCAATAAGTCACAAAGGACAATCAGAGAGGACAATCATGTGAAAGCATGCATGGCTGTCATTACTGTTCCCAAATCAGTGTGGAGTAAAAACCTAGAAGAGGCTTTTTTCTGTTCACATTAAATTGAGATTGATTCACGCAGCGCAGCAACACGTGCCCCATTGCGTGTGTCCCTGGTGCGTTTCCATAGTAATATTTCTCTCACTTCCTGGCCCTTTTGATTTGCTGTGTATGCGTTGCCACGGAAACTGACATATTCCTTTGTCCGTGGTGTTTTTGCACCATTGTCTAAAATAGAACAGAAACCGCATGCTGCAGTGCACCGTATGTCCAGATGGCATTAGTCATCTAACTGCACTGTGCGCGTCCAGTCAGCAGAGTCATCAATCTTTCCAGTTCAAGTGTTGAATCCCATAATAGAAGCCTCACATACTGTTTCACATACACAACATGCACTGGTAATAGTAACGCCAAGTTGGACATTTATTTAAACATTTAGTAACTGGTTTACAACACCCGTGCACTCTCACCGAGCTGTTTGGCTTTGATGAGCTCCACACCTAAATCACTTTCTGCATTCTTCTCCTCCTCCACATGTCTAACCGTTTGTCTTTCCGGCATTCCTGCAAAGCACATTCATGATTTAATGTGGATTATTTCTGCTAATGCAAAAGTTGCATTAAGTGTGGCAAAACTGGCAGAAAATACTATTAGTTAAGGTTGGGATTATCTGATTAGATCTGCTCAGCCAGTCCAGCAAACAACATCTGTGGGGGGGTTCGACAGTTCTAATAAATACAGAGGCAAACAAATGATGGCAGTTATGTAAAGGCATAGCAACTGACTGTATTTTGGAGACAAACAGGAGTTAAAGGATTGTGACAGTAGCTGCATGGCAGATTTGTCTCCATAGAGGCTATTCAAACAGTGTTACATCTCACTAAATGTCCACGTCATGAGGTCCCAGATAATGAATGCTTTGGTTGTATGTTCTACAGGCCACAGCTAGGCTAAGTGCTACGGTGCAATGTGCGTTTTCAGTGCGATGTGTGGTCGAGTGACATGTGATCTCATTAAAGTCCACGGGGTGAGAATAATATTCAGAGATTGGTCACGACAATGCTATCCATGTATGCTGTAGCTCATTAACTCCGCTGATGGAGCCAAACAAATGAGCATTTTCTATGGTGTATAATAGTAGCAGACTATCATTATCTCAAGAGTGAGAAAATGACCTCCCGATTAGATGACTGCTATTAGATGTGAGCAGTTTTCTTACAGGGGATGATAAGAAAAATGAATATCTACTGTTTAAAATGAAATCATGAACTCAAAAGGACTTTTCACCAATCAGCTGCTGTGTTTATGTCTGCTGCTGTTAAGGCCAGGCTCGGATGTCTGACGAGGTAAACTTGGCCGTCGGCTCGAAAAGCTTGAAGGCCAAAATAAATCCCAAATCCCTGATTTTTGCTCCATTTAGGTGAGTGATAACAGCCAATACATTTCTTATGGGGGGGACGGGGTTTTAGCAACCTTGTCCTTGTTCATGAGTGAAGCTCAAACAGAGCGGGAGATGGACAGGCGGTTCGATATGGCGTCAGCAGTGATGCAGGCGTTTTACCGGACCATCAAAGACAAAGCTCTTTATTTACTAGATCATCTGCAGTCCATCCCTCACCTATGATCTGCATTGTAAACATCATCTTATCATGTAATTGCACTTGACCATGCATCCAAATTACAGGTCAAGAATGTTAATTCTAAAACCAACATCTGGTAAAGAAATATAACATGTGATAACACAGTGGTTGCAGATGTGGTGTGCCTTTTTGACCCCTTCAAAAATATATAGACACACATCCTCTTTGACGGAGACAAGTGATACAGGAATCTACTTTGTCAAAAGCCAAACCGTGCGGGGCAGTTTTGGAACGCCTCGGTTTGTACATTTGAATGGGCGTCCCCCTGCGGTTCACGCAGGCTTTCAGCTCATTGTTGCCAGAATCCAGCAGTGATACCAGCATTTAGTCCGGCCTCTTCACCCTGCTGTCAGCATTCCACGGGTTTCATAGGCCGACACTCAAGAACTGAAGCTCATCCATCCCCTTCAGAAATCCTGCTGGGCAGAACCAGCTTGACCGCGGAGAGGCCTCTTATTTAACTTTTCCAACTGTTTGTCTTTGCTTTTGCAGCGTGTGTGAGTGCAGGCGTGTGTGAGTGCAGGCGTGTGAGTGCAGGCGTGTGAGTGCAGGCGTGTGAGTGCAGGCGTGTGAGTGCAGGCGTGTGAGTGCAGGCGTGTGTGCGCGCCCCCTCAAGCTGCGTGTGAGGTCAAGCGGCAGAGAAAAGTGTTTCCTCGGCCGGCGATAAGGAATTGCATACACACAAACAGTTGTGCTGGATGACATGCTCTGTCAAAAAAAAAGGGGGGGGGGGCAACACGCAACTTGTTTTTTGCCGGACTTGTGACAAGACCTCATTCACACACACTCAGGTGGCTCTCCAGGTTGCCTTGTGTCCACATTCTGTTTTTGCTGCCACGGCTGAACGATGGCTCTGTTGCTTCGCTGAGCTGAGCTGAGTGGGGTCAAATAACAAGAGAGCTGACAGCGGGAGAAATCACTTCAAGAAAATATTGTTGATGGAGGCTAAATCGTGACAGGAGAAGTGACATAAAGTCTTCAGTGTGTCTCAGAGAAGCCCATTTTTTCTCGAAGACGTGAAGAATAAACATCACTCCAGAGGGCAACGTGATGAAATTGTATTTTTTCAAAGATATAAACTGATGTAAAATGGTTTATCTCTGCTTGTGGCAGCACAAAATGAAGACCATAAACACAGACACATTAGAGTGCACTTGTAAGCCCTCTGTCTGGATAAGGCATTAGATAAATTGCAGCAGTCTGTCCTCTGTCTCTTCCTGACCTCTCTTCTCAGTAGACAGAGGAATGCATGACCAGAGATTCAGATGACTCAAACGTTCATCAAAGCCAAAGCGCTCTCTGGGTCTGCGGCAATTCATTACAATTCACTTTGATTCGACTCCACCTTGATCACGGATTAAAGCCAAAGTTGCAACGTAGACCTGTCTGAGGATGAAAAATGAGCGCGGTGACTCAGACTGCTTCCTATACGCTCTGGCCTCATAGTGACCTCACCTCCTCATATGCATTCTCAACGCCGGTTATGTGTGTGGAAAGCGTATTGCAAATCCATCAGTGCGAGGCCACTTCATGTCCTCACTTGCTCTTTTTCTTCTTCTTTCCATCTATGCCTGTGTACTTCAACTGTATACATTCAGTTCGGCTCATGTTCCACTGTTGTAAAAGGACCATCCTGCACACACGTATTTTGCAGACTTTTCACATAATGCTCTTTATCTTTTTGGACTGCGTTTGTTGTACTACATGTTCTCAAATATAATCTACTCTCAAACTCATGATCTATGAGAATCACAAAAATGTTTTTTCTAATCCTTTTTTTATGACTCAAAGAATGCAGAGGCCAAGGGTTTACTTAGTTTCACATGCATCAAGTCCAGGGAACCTTAATGTGCTTCTCTTGCAAAGAAACATTTTTCAAGATTAAAAAAACACTCGTTACATTCTATTCGTACGTTTTATGTTCTAATCTTTGTGCTAACTTTTGCCTCCCTCAGGGTGACTTCACCTGGAGCAGCCTGTCGGGGCGGAGCGTGCGTCTGACGCCGGTTGCCATCCAGAGCCTGTCGGAGCTGGAGAGGGCCAGGCTGCAGGAAGTAGCCTACACCCGATTACACCAGGACTATGATCTGGGATGTCAGATTACCATGCCGAAAGGTGGGAGAATGTGTGTGTCGGAAGTTAAGTGCCAACATAATCTGGTTGGTTCCAAATGGGTGGGATTATAGCATCCTTCAGATAGCATCAGCCTTTCAAGACGCTGACATTTATGCGACTGTTAACCACTGTCAAAACACATCTGTGAACTGTTCTGTGAAGAAGACGCCACCCATTTGAAATTCTTAACTAGTTTGCTTTGTAAGCTTGCGCAGCTACTTCCAAGTGTCCCATAAAGTAAAGCCAAAGCTCGAGCCACTGACCACATCCGCTCGTCAAGTATATTTAAGGGAAGTCATGTAGGGTCTATGTTTGGGGAAGTTGTTACAACACATGGATTTAGATGTAAACCATTGAGATCACGTGCTTCCTGTTACACCCCACACACGACTCCCTTTCCGCTGCAGTTGGGGCTCAGTGCTGTCACCCCGCTTGTCACCATGTACAGGCTATTAAAAGTTGTTTTTGGGCCTATCTAAAATCAAACGACTTTTTTTGGTCACTTATAGCAAATCATTAAGCGAATAAGGGTTAGGAAAATGGCAAAATTGGACAAATTAGTGCAGATATAGCAGGCATGGGCACTGCTCTGAAACTGGTTGAGTCGGTGGTTTGTTTCCCACTGGGCCCGCCCATGCTAAAAATGTCTACATGAATCACAGTTTATAGAAAAGGATCAGACTCAGAGTTTGGTTAATACATCATGTATTTGGTATCGGATGAGTAGCGTTGGAATCAAGAGAGACCCATATATTCCAACTTCTACTCCCTAATACGCCCCAAATACTATGGATCCTCCATTTCTCAAAATGCAACTCAATGGCATCTTTTGTTAGGTTTCCCTTTCCTGGTAACTGCCCATATCTTTGCTCCCAGTCTGTAACAGGCCTCCTGTTAAACTAAATTGAGGTCTTAAGCCAAAACTGAGATGACCTCATCAGCCGTGTTTTCTCAGACTTCAGAGAGCTCCCTCCAGAGACACAGAAAACATTATTCAACTGTGTTACAGGTTTGAGTAGTTAAGTAAACTGAACTTCATGTAAAATGATGAAACCCTCAGGTGAGCCAGGCTTATTTGGAACAGAACCTGCTGTAGGTGTTTGTGACCACATTTTTTGTGCTCACTTGTGGTTTTAGCTCCAAATTAAAGTATTTGTTTCAGTGGTTCCCAACCTTTTTGGCTTTTGGCCCCACAGACTGAACTCATGTCAAAAAGTATTTTTTCCTCACTCCGATTAATTTTTTAGAGGCCCGAGAAGGAAAAATTATCCAATTAGTCTGATTAGTATAAAACTCGAAAAAAAAAACATGCTGTACATTCCTCTCAATCTAATGACCCTCCAGATCTCTGACCCCTTGGGGGGTCCTGACCCCCAGGTTTGGATCCAATGATCTCAAAAATCTGACGAATCAGTTGGTTCGTTTACAACCAACACTTGTTTCTTGCCCCACACAACTTTGTTATAGTCATTCAGCTATGTTTCCAGACCTCAGCAATTACTTTGCTTCAAAATATTGTTCTCATAATCGACAGAAATGAGACCCAAATTTGTATTAAACCAGAATTATTCTTTCAGCTCAGAAGTCTGTGCACACAGATGCACGTCAGGCAAGTGTGCAGCTTCTTTTCCCTGCACTGTATATGAGTGGCGTGGCTGCCGTAGGTATAGTGCTGGATTAACCAGGGCCTTGCATTCCAGCTGAAGGTTAAAGCTCTCCCTACCATGATTTAATGCGTACTTGTCTGTGTTGCTTATGAATTCCAGAGCCCCCAACAGCCACCATGTGCTAGCTAGGGAAATATTCCAACTCGTGTGTATGAGTTTCTTGTGCGTGTGCTATTTCAGCACCGCTAATGTGGGCTTTTCGGACCTGCTGTTTCTCATATTCATCCCAGCGCCATGGGGTCATGTTTCTAGTGTTTCTTCAAGACCGAAAAACAGATTGACAGAACCGAAAGAGAGACAAAGAGGGATGGGGCGATGGTGCACTGACACGGGGAAAAAGAAGCAGAGGTCCATCAGACGGTTGCACAACCGGTTGGGAGTTAGATTGGGAAGGTTTGGAGGTTCGGGGGATTTCCGTACGGCTTTGGGAGCCATCTGTCAAAAATCCAAACCATTTCCTATCTCTGCTTCTCACGTCTCACTCCCTCTCTCGCTGCCTTCACAACATCTGCTTTCTTTCTCCCATCTCACACCACCCTCCTCACCGTTTCCCACCTATTTTTCCCTCATACATACACCCTAAGACTGACTCCAAGCTGAGAGTCTTAAAAGGACACGTACCTTTCTCATATATCACCACGGTGGCAATAAATTGATTATCAAAGAACAGCAGCCTTGCTGAACTTGTTCAGATTTGTCAGAGATGGTTGGACACATGGAGAAACTGAAGCTGCTCCCTAACGTAGCGGGCTACCACCGCGCGTGCTGTTGGGGCTGGATGAAATTTCCTGAACCCTACAAGTGACTCATTTGATACAGCTGAAAGGAACATCTGGGGGGGTTCAAACTGAGGTTGCTAAACTAGCAGACCAAAGCGAAGGCTCACTCAACGGGTTCACGATGATCTGATGTGTAAAAGAGTTGGTTCTGTGATACCAAAAAAAAACAGCAGAGTGACCGAATGACGGCACTAAAAGCTGCTGAGGTTTCACAAACTGACATCCTGGCTCGAGACGAGCTCTCTGAGACTAAGCTGCATGTGCCACGATTTCCAGATTTCCCTGGTCATTAATCAAGAAGTTCAGGAGTCATTCATCATGTTGACAGCTGACAAGTGGCTTCCCTGCTTTCAGAGCACGGATGTAAAGCATTCACGTAGACAAATATAAACGCGCATGGCATTGTGAAAGTGGGAAAGCCGGCGTAAATAAACAATGCGAGTGATTTAATATGTTGTTCCTGCTGGCTAATACCGTAGCTGAACCTGTCTGACATTTCAGTTCAATGGATTTGAGTTCATAGACAGCTTTCCCCCCATGGCTAATTTATGTCTGCATTCCCGACATAACCTTATTAGATATAATAGGCGAGATAAGATACAGCCGATATGGAAACCATTTGTTTCACATGATTTATTTTCTTGTTTTTTTTCCACCGCAGATGGACAGAAGAGGAAAAAGTCGCTGAGGAGGAAGTTGGACTCGCTAGCAAAAGAGAAGAGCAAAGACAAAGGTACGCCAACTTCTTTTCACACTTTGCCAGTTCGCAGGGTTTTTATCTCTCCATCTCTGCTGTGGTCTCCGACCCTCAGGCAGGTGAACAGCGAGGTTATAAAACCACTTTCTGTTTACTGGGCTTTGACAGTTTATATTTAGCTTAAGTGGAGGGACTCCATGTAAGGCAGGGGTCACCAACCTTTTTTAAACTGAGAGCTACTTCAAGGGTCCGAGTAGTACGAAGGGCTACTCATTTGATACAAACTTCCTGAATAACAAAGTTGCACAGATCACCTTTTTGTTTGATCACATGTCAGTTAATTATTCCTCACAATAATTATTAATAATGATTTCCACAACAATGATGGTATAGCTACAAACATGCAACTTTTATTTCTGTTAATCTGAAAGTCAGAGGTATCACATCTCTGATATTTTTGTATCAGCACATGATCAAAGCCGGTTACTTTTGCACATAGCGCCTGTTGGTGAATGATGCAGTGGTAATGTAGAAATTTTGCGAAGTCTGGGTCACCTTTGCATTGCGCAATGAAGCCTGGCTCTGAGAAGCGGCCACTCTGCTGCACTAAGCAAAGCATATTTGGCAGGAGAGAGAATCTCAGTCAAAAAGGGAGCCCAGCTGCAGAGAGGAGCAGGAGGCTAAATTAATTGTGCTTTTCTCATCAAATGAGTGCTGATCCCAGGTCTGGTTTACAACAAATACACGTGGAAATGTCAAAAATACACAGCAGTGGCGGCTGTTGCTTTTCTCATGTAACGTGGTACAAATGAGTAAATACGGCTTTAGGTAAGTTACATAGAATCACTTAAGCCATACAGTTCATAAACGTAGCAAGTAGGCAAACAGTATCCAGAAACCAAGTAACTCAAGCAATTTGCATTATTTGTCAAAATCAGTGACACAAAAAAACTTTGTTTATATATATATATATATATATATATATATATATATATATATATATCTTTGGAGTTATTAAAGTTATTGAAATTGAACGTTTGTCAGCATTGGACACAATGTACTTGTAAAAGTATGAGAAACAGCTGTCCAGTTTTATATTGGAAAGATGACGAGGCTGCTACAGTATGTCACAGCTGTGTTGTCTGAAAAAAAATGCACATGCATCGGCCAATCAGAACCTGCTATTGTATATGGCAACTGAAGCACCTTTGATTCTATATTGCTCCGGCTGGTGATAATGACGAGGCAAACTTATTTACCAGACCCACATTCCTTTGTTCCGAGCTCCGAGTCTGGCTGTAGGTGGGTCGCCTGGCTCTCCCCCTCCGGAGCAGATGGCTCAGATGTACCTGTGGTCTAACCTGCCAAATGGATTCTAAGTTTAAAATTCTCCCATGGTCTCTGAATACAAGGCCCTGCATTTCACTTTGAAGCAGGCTCAGCCTTTTCTCTGCAAGAGACACACAGAGAGAAGCATGCTGGCTCCTTTGATGCAGCCACAGTAATCTGAGCTGGTGTGATCAGACCTCAGTCAAACTATATTTGCAAATAAGATTTAATATATAATCTGCTTTGGATACTTTTCTTTTTTTGCTTCAAGCAATTGTTTGTGAAAGTGTTGGTACTTGTATTGTCCTGCGTGGTAAACTAACATGTTATTTACAACTTTCCTGACTTTCTGCATGGACTTGGAGCACATCCAAACACTGCATGGACATGAATAAGAAGTAATTATTAAAATAAAGAGTAATGAAAACCAGGACTGACGCTGTAGGCCTGGAAAATGTAGATTTATGAAAATCTGACACGTGGTCTGGCTGTGGACGCACCGTGAAGAGCTTTGCATTACACTGGAAAAGCACTGTACGTTATGCGATCCAGATTGTGTGTATTTGCACGTCTCTGTGTGTGTGTTACATAAGCCCTGTTAGCGCTTTGAGGCTGCAGAGCAAATTCGTTGTGTCACAGCGTTAGTGGTCATGTTGTTCATGAACACAGCCCTCCACTTGTGGTTGTGGAATGCATCTCGCTTTCTCTCCCTCCGTTTTCCTCTGAACACACACACACACACACACACACACACACACACACACACACACACACA